AAATAAAGAAGATATCAAAAAAACATAATAAAATAAGAAAAATTAAGTATTAATTTAAACTTGCACACTGCCACTGATATTTTAAAGGAATCATGTATTATTAATAACCATTTTCTCACTTTAACTATTTTCTTTGTACAGACTAGGCCCAGACAGGGTAGAAACAATTCTTAACTTTAACTTTTTTTTCTTGAAATGATAAAATATTTTAACTTAGCCGGGCTCGGTGGCTCAGCCTGTAATCCCGTGCCTTTGGGAGGCTGAGGTGAGTGGACTGCCTGAGCCTGCGGGTTCGAGAACCACCTAGGCAACTTGGTGAGACCCCATCTCTACAATAAATCAAAAAACTAGCTGGGCGTGGTAGCGCGCACCTGCAGTTCCAGCTACTTGGAAGCCTGAGGTGGAAGGATCACCGGAGCCCAGCAGGTCGAGGCTGCGGTGGCCGGGAGTGGCCACTGCACTCCCAGTCTGGGTGACAGAGTGAGACTCCAACTCAAAAAAAAAAAAAATTTTAACTTTTGAGATAAAATTGTCCATTAAAAACCTTTGCAGAACAAAAAGAAATACAAAATTTCTCTAGCTAAAGATTCAAAAACTTGCAAATTTGGGAGAAAATCAGTATATGCCATAGGTTTAGACTCCTGAATGGCTGGAGAATTTTCTGCATTTTTTTTTTTCCTGACTTGAAAATTTCCATTTTCCTGTTTATTCTACAATCTCATCTGGGACTGCAAGATTTCGATCTAACAACAATCACTGCTAGAAAATGGCTAGTAAGAGAATCTGAGCAATAAAGTAGAGGAATTCTTAATAGTTTTTTCCTTGACTAGATATATGTCCCTTTCCTCCTGATAAATTTTCTGATTGTTTCTTGTATCACTGCAGCAGATATTCAAGACGCAACTGATTGATTTGATCAACACAAACTCAAAGAGAGGAATGGAATTACAGATATTAAAGGGATGCAAAGAAAAAAACTAGTTTGAGAGAACAAATCAGGTTCTCTTAATTTAAGTCACAAGTGAGGCACTAACTACAAGTTTCCTTCTGTTTGTTATGACAAATTATCATGACATGAGCAATTACAAGATCTTCTTGATCACTTTACATTCTGCTCAAAAAATCCCCAGTTTTATTTTCTCTCTGATAATATAATCACCAAGCAACTTTTATACACTGGTATTCTTTGGCCAGGCTCAGCCTGTCGTCCCAGCGCTTTGGGAGGCCAAGACAAGTGGGTGGTGAGAGCCCGCGGGTTCGAGACCAGCCCAGGCAATTTGGCGATACCTCGTATCTACAATAAATCAAAAATTAGTGAAGCAAGGTAGCTCACGCCTGTCGTTGCGGCTACTTGGAAGGCTGAGGCAGAAGGATCTTTGGAGCCCAGCAGGTCGAGGCTGCAGTGGCCATGAGTGTGCCACTACACTTCAGCCTGGGTGACGGAATGAGACTCCCATTCAGTAAATAAATAAATAAAGCATAGCTAAAAACTCAAAGACATTTTCCTTTTAAAAGTACTTTTAAGAAAGAATGCATTGCATTTTCTTCCTTTTTTATGTATGCTTTCCTTTTGGAAATTCTCTTTGTGCTTAATATAATCATCCTCATAAGTTTTTTGTTTATTGGCAAATACATCTTCAACATTACCATCTTCTGTTGAACATTTGTTTTTCTTGATGGCAGTGTTTAATTATCTTTCTCAACTTTGATGTATACTGATTACTGATTGTAAAACTTGTTTCTGCTTTTTTGAGACAAACACCTGGACTATATTTTGCTGCCACCCTTGGCATTAAGCAGGGCTACTCGAAGGAGGTTTAGCCAATGAAATTTGAGCAAGAATAACATTCATCACAACAAAGCCCTTAAAAACTCCCAGGAACGATCCTCCATTGTCTTTCTGCTTTGGCAGGTTGAGGACAGGCATGATGAACTGAAAAGCCAAGGGAGAAGGTGGAAAGAGACTGAGATTCTGGGTCACTTCGTGGAGTAGAGTGCTCCTTGATCGGCAGCACCTGTCCTAGAATTCCTGTGAGCTTGAGGAATGGTGTTTATTACTTTATGCTTTTAGCCATGCATTATAAGAAAAAGATGAGCTCAGTAAATCATTGGCTGGTTTTCAAGCAGAAATTAAAGAGAAGAGAGGGAAAGTTTAGAAATTTGAGCCCTCTAAGAGTTCTAAAGGGAAATCACTTACTGGTTTCAAGCAATGTGAGCTGAGACTTGAACAGAGTTTGAAACGCAAGAACTTTTAATGACTCAGTTCTGCAGTAAGAACCAGTCAATTTTGTTGTCTGAGAGAATCTTCAAGAAATTGTTTTTGGGTTGTGAAAAAAAAGAGAGGCAGTAATGGGGTTACAAGGATGCAAAGAAAGTAAGTCACATTGGAGAAATGTATCAGGAAAGAATTTTGCCTGTGGTTAAGTGGTATATGGAACTACTTGAATGCAAGCAGATCCCAATTCTTCTAAATTTTTTTAAGGATTCTCATTTTCAAAGACATTTACAAACTCTGATGAAAGAAAAGTGGGTTCCTCAAGATGTAAACTCCTAGGCCTCTGAATTTCCGAATTTGAGCTGTGAAGAGGTGCAACCCTCAAGAAGGACATGCAGATGCTTCTTGAATTACAGTGGAGTTACCCGCTGATAAATCACTGTACGCTGAAAAGTCCCAAGTTGAAAATGCCTTCAATACACCCAACCTGTCAAACATCATATGCTAGCCCTAGTCCACCTTAAACGTGTTCAGAACACTTACATTAGCCTACTCTCGGGCAAAATCATCTAGCTCAAAGCCTATTTTACAGTTAAGTCTTGAATATTTTACGTCATTTATAGAATGTTGTCCATTACGTCAAAGCCACAATAATTTTGTACCGTTGTAGACTCAACAAATCATAAGTCAAACAATGAAAAGTCAGGGACTAAGGACTGCCTGCATGCCACAGATAAAGCCAAGAAGGATAATGAACAAGGAAGAATTTCTTGTTTGTCAACAATAGCCACAGAAATGTTTAGGTTACAAACAAATTCAGGAACTCGTTGGCGACAACTGGCCCAAAGTGGTTCAGAGAAAAGAAAGAATAGACAATGGTCTGTTATGTACTTTTATCTGGTTCTCTGACTTCTCTCCTAAGAGTACAGGGCCCTGAGTTTCTGAGGGTCCTAGGAAGGAGTCTCACCCTAGTATCTTTTCTCTGGACTCTAGATCTTCCTCTGTCATAGGCACCACTCTTCCAACTTTATTCTCACTAAAAAAAACTTTCATCTATTATTTTTTTCTTTAAAGGCAATGAAACCTTTTCTTACTTTCACATTCTCACATACAAAATTCTATCTGCTTTTAGGTTTTGGTGAAATTTCCTTTATGTATAAAGGTTTGGAGATTTAGAAACTTCTTTCATTTCAAACACACACACACATGCATATGACACCCAGCCAAACCAAGCCAAACCAAACCAAAATATTGGCTTTTGAGACATTCCCTAGCTGTGGGCTTCTAAATTCTTTTAGCAATTAAGAGCCAAACACTGAATCTTTCTCCTTTCTCAATAGAATGACAGGCACACTCAAGAATATGCATTGAACAAAAGATAATCGTATCTTTAGAAATATTCGCATTGCGATGCTAATTTGTGGGACGTTTAAAGAAATAGTAACCGAAAGGAAATAATTACATATAATGTAGTTCGTACAGAAACATAAGGCATGACAAAATCTAATTTTAATTTGAAGTGATGTTCCTTTCGAGCAATAGGTATAGTCCCACAGAATTTTTACTGGCGAGACGAAGGATCACACGCTGGCACTTGGAGTCTGGAAGATTCAATCAAGTTCTGAATTTCTATTGGTTAACTTTTTAGGCAACCAGAGAGCTAGAGCCTTACGCTTTTGACTCTGTGTCTGCTTTTCTGAAGTGTTTATAAGGATACTCATATTACAGTGTTTATGGTTGTTAAATGAGAAATACACTTATCCTGTCACACAGTATTAGGCACACAGTGGGAGCTCAGAAAAGACCTCAAAGGTGAAATTGATTTCTAATTAGAATTATAAGTCATGACTAATTTTTTAATCCTTTAACTCCCCTGAAATATATAATTATTTATACATACATGTATATTTTATATTATTTAATTCTTTATACATATATGTATACTTTATAATCATTTTAAGTGTGGCAGATTTTTAATTTTTGAGAACAGAGCTGGCTCATTATCAATACTTGTCTTTATACCCAACTCAAGTTCCTAGTTGAGAGCTTCGAACATGGCTGATACTCAGCAGATGTTTTTATACAGAATTTACGGTAGTGCTGTCATATGCTGGAGTTTTCTGTCCCATTTTTTGAAAATGACATGCATCTATTTTTTTTTTTTTTTTTTGAGTTGGAGTCTCACTTGGTCGCCCAGACTGGAGTGCAGTGGCTGCTCCCGGCCACCGCAGTCTCGACCTGCTGGGCTCTGGCAATCCTTCTGCCTCAGCCTTCCGTGTAGCCGGAATAACAGGCATGAGCTAATGCCCGGCTGATTTTTTGATTTATTGTAGAGATGAGGTCTCGCTGCCCAGGCGGGTCTCGAACCCGCGGGCTCAGGCAATCCACTCACCTCAGCCTCCCAAAGGCGCGGGATTACAGGCTGAGCCACTGAGCCCGACTGCATCTATATATATATATATTTTTTTTTTTTTT